CTGATCATTCAATAATGGGATGCAAAAATTAATTTTTATTTTCAAATTTCAACTTAATAACTATCATCATACATTTGGCATTATTTGGCTCACAAGCTATTGAGAGCTTATGAGCTCTTTCATGCTCTTTTCTTTCCTACTTTCTCCAAAAGCTTATAAGATCTTCTCGTAAGATCCAACTTTTATCCATCCAGTGGCCGAGAAAAACATATTTGACAATAAGATAACGAGTTTACCAAAAACTGGAGTATTTTCTCTGTTAATGATCTCTACATGCCTTTTCTATATCATGCCCAATAGTCTTAACAAAATGCAAATAATGTGTGAAATTGAATGCATCTCATTTTCAGACAAGGTGGTTCAGCCAGGTTGGAGGAGATGAGAAGCTTCCCAAATCTGCTCGATGACTATTCACTCGAACTGCAGAGTTTGATTCGGTCTTTGTTTCAGCGTGTTTTTGGTAGGAAAACTGAAAATGGGAATCTCATATTATCGGTATTTTTTTTTCTCGTGTTTCGAATTTTAGTGGTGAAAGTGTTTTTACTTTTTACCAAGGAATGTGCATAGAAGTTGTTTGGAAGATTTTGAGTCAAGCTAATTTGGGATTTGCTCTAGTGTGCTTTGGTTCTGGTTTATTGTGATGTTCTTCTTCTACTGTCTTTAATGAAATCTGTAAAAACTAACGGTATCATGTTTGTTGTGTGATTCGACTTTACTAGTCATTCTTGTTGGCCTTCGAACTAGCCGATAAATTACATGCAAATTTAGTGCTGTAATGTAATCGAACCGAATGAGTCGAGTTTGGGTGTTTCGAGTTCGTGTTCGTTTACGTTCGTTTATTTTTCGAGCAAAAATCGTGTTTGAGCTCGTTTGTTTAATTGTTCGAGTTTGTTCGTGTTCAAATAATTTAGGACATAAATTTTGTAAATATGTTTGATTAACTCGAAATTTGTTGGTTCGAATTTGAAAATAAAAAAAAAAATTATATTTTAGATTTTTTATTAAAAATATCATGTAAATATATAAAAAATAAATTTAAATTATATTAAATTAATGTTCGCGAACATTATCGAACGTTCGCGAATGAACTCGTGTTCGTTCAATTAAAATTGTATTAAATTAAAAATTTTCCAAAATTATTTTAGTAAACATCTTATAGCTTTTCTTTATTTTATTATTAATTTTTTTTTTCAACATGAATATAGTCACACAAACGTATTTTTTCAACATACATGCATATATTTCAAATGAAATATCATACTACTAAACATCAAGAAAACAAAAGTATGACGTGTTGACCAACATAATAGT